CAGGTGCACACAGCTCACTGCTGGGTCTTATAGGCGTGTTAATAAGGCTCCTCAGCATGAAACATCCTCTCGTACGTGGGTTTCTCAAAACTAGAGCTGGGCGATACAGCACAAATATTGCGATACTGGGAGAGGTTTTCACCACATGCCATGTCATGATGTTTATTTTTTCAGGCATCTGATCAGAGAATAAAGAGGCTACATCGTAAAAAAATACCAAAAACTGTGAAAACAGTGATTTATATTCGATATTTGGCACTAAATCCAGTTAATTTGTGTTACGTCCCGTGTTTGGTTCTCTCTCTCTTTGCGTCTGGTTGAGTTTTCCATGCTGCCGCATGACTGACGTCCTGCCTTTCCCGGCACGTGATTGGCTGTTCCTGTTGGTGCCGGCTACAAAAAGCCTCTGGTGCTCCACTGCCCGCCAGTCGATAGGTCAGTTTTGTTAACTGTGACATACTTTACTTTTTTGATAACTGTGAAGACATTTTAAAAAAATTTTGCTATGTTCTTCAAGATTAAGGGAACATAGGGTTGGCCTGGCCCTTTTTGTCTGACCTGTTAGACTTTATTTACCGGTAGAGTAGGAAAGGTAGTGCTTTTGATTTTTTTGGTAGATTGATTATTTATTTATTTATTTAAGTCTTTTTTTAGTCAGAAGTTATATTTCCTATTTTTCCTCTTTTTACTTTTTGTCTTATGTCTATACCATCATTGATGGCTGGATAAAAAGTGCTTAAAGTGCAGAGCAGCAAATAAACTGTTAAATCTGCAGTTGGCGAAATCCATGATATGTTTGGAAAAGCATGTTGTATTGTGACAATTTATCACAATAACTCACACACATATACATATACATATATATATATATATATATATATATATATATATATATATATATATATATATATATACACACACACATACACACACACACACTTACTTAAGCAATAGAACACAGAGGGAGTGTGTTATTGTGAAATAACATCACGGCTGTGATTTGGTCGCCGTAGATCATCACAGCCGTGATGTTATTGGTGACAGCCCACTCCTCGAGTGTTCTATTGCTTTTATACAACAGTTAAATAAATAACTCTCTGCTGCCGAAAAGCGACAGGGTATGAAAACATTAGATCTTTCACGAAAACTTAAGCGTGATCAGATTTGTGGCTCATTCAGAGCACAGACAGGTTCCTGCAGATAAAGGCATAATGAGGAAGGTTTCTGCCAGACAGATTCATCGGATTAAGAGAGCAGCTGCTAAAATGCCATTACAAAGCAGCAAACAGGTATGTGAAGCTGCTGGTGCCTCTGGAGTCCTCAGAGTCCCATGAACCTCAAGGTGTAGGATCCTCCAGAAGCTTGCAGTTGTGCATAAACCTACTATTCGGCCACCCCTGACCAGTGCTCACCATCAGAAACGGTTGCAGTGGGCCCAGACATACATGAAGACTAATTTTCAAACAGTCTTGTTTACCGATGAGTGCCGTGCAACCCTGGATGGTCCAGATGGATGGAGTAGTGGATGGTTGGCGGATGGCCACCATGTCCCAACAAGGCTGCGACGTCAGCAAGGAGGTGGCGGAGTCATGTTTTGGTCTGGAATCATTGGGAGAGAGCTGGTAGGCCACTGTAGGGTCCCTGAAGGTGTGAAAATGACCTCGGCAAAGTATGTAGAGTTTCTGACCGACCACTTTCTTCCATGGTACGAAAAGCCTTCTGTAGCAAAATCATCTTCATGCATGACAGTGCACCATCTCATGCTGCAAAGAATACCTCTGTGTCATTGGCTGCTGTGGGCATAAAAGGAGAGAAACTCATGGTGTGGCCACCATCCTCCCCTGACCTCAACCCTATTGAGAACATTTGGAGTATCCTCAAGCAAAAGATCTATGAGGGTGGGAGTCCCTTCACATCAAAACAGCAGCTCTGGGAGGCTGTTCTGACATCCTGCACAGAAATTCAAACAGAAACTCTCCAAAACCTCAAGTTCAATGGATGCAAGAATTGTGAATATCAAAGAGGGGGTCCTATGTTAAAATGTAACTTGGCCTGTTAAGACATTTTTGATTGAAATAGCTTTTGATTTCAGTAAATGTAACATCTTAATGCTGCAAATTCAACAAATGACCATTTTCAGTTCTTTACAACCAATAAAATGTTTTGAAACTGTTGTGCATAATAATTCGGAACATTTGCATCGACCATTTAGGAAAATCAGAGAAAAATATCATTTGCATAATAATTTGGAATGCGGTGTAATAAACTGGGCCGTGAACGCGGCGTTTAATATGTTTTAATGTTCGCAGTTCCTTCACCAAATTAAAAGTTCCTTAACGAGCAGCTCGTTGCTACGCCAGAGTAACGAGCTCCGCCCACTCGCTGCTCAGCCGGCAGTTCGTTCTCCAGCTCCTCACACTAAATTCTCAAACTGTCACCACTGAGCAGCTTTTCAGTCGGCAGCTGAGACAGAAGAACAGCTGAACAACGTGGAATCAGCCAGAAATGAACCCAACACCATTCGCCAAACTAAATGGGCTGTAAGATGCTTTACAGACTGGCTGGAACAAAACAACATTAATACTGATCTGGCAGAAACTGACAAAAC